TCTTGCAAGTACATCTGATGATGAGTTTGTTTGATTGCTAAACGCTCGAAGTCTCTAGCAAAATGCCATAGCTTTGAGCATTTCAAACCCTATATCCATTTTGTCTCATCTTTGGACCAGGCCTGGGTCTTTTAAGCTTGAAGTTTCTAATGGCCTGCCGACCATCCATGGAGCCTGCTGGCCACCACTTCTCCTTTGCCGGCCATTGATGTGCATTGCTTGCCATTAATGACGCCTTGCCGGCCACCACTGATGGCCGGCCGGCCACCATTGTATGCTGCATATATTTTGTGATATTTTGTGCAAACTATTTGCATAGATTCATACATCTTCTTACACGTGTGTGGCTGGATGTTTGTGAGGGAAATTTATGTTTTCTATATATAGAACCCATCTCTCTCATGTGTGGGGGTTAAAAAAATTTGAGACATATAAATTTTCTCTCTCTCTCTCTCTCTCTTGCAAAATTGTGTGTGTTTGCCTAGTTTTTCTACACTTTTGCCTACTTATCCTAACCAAATTCTCTCACCTTTGAGCTGAGGTTCCTTAGGGCCTTCTTGGAGCTCTTGAAGATGGTTTTGGCTTGAACTTGTGCCTAAAGTGTTCTTTTCTTCAAGAGGTAGAATACTAGTCTTGTTATCTTGTTTTCAATACTTGTTTTTCTATCTTTTTCAATTGTTTTTGGGGCTGGTTTTGAACTGTAAAAAGCTCTGTTTTTGTGGCTTAAAAATGGTGGTTTGAGCCCTTTTTTAGTTAGTGGGTGGTTCACCCTTCTTGTTTCTTAGTTTATAAAGCTTTTGTGTCTTTATCCATCATTTTCAAACCAACCTTTTTAGGCCTTTTAACCACTGAATTTCAGAGGTTTTTTAGTGGCAAAAATCTCATTTTGAAGTCCAAAATTGGAGGGGTTAACCTCCCCCCCTTGTGTCTTGTTTGCATGCTTAGTTAGTCTTACATGTTAGCATATTTTTCTAGCTTAACTTAGCTTAAGTCTAGCATCTTTTAGCCTCTGAAATAGCTTGTTTTAGTTCTATTTTGGACTGTTTGGTTCATTTGAACTTTGTTTTGTGTAGTTGTAGTGTAAATCCTTGCACTAGCTTGTTGTTTTAAGGCTTTAAACATCATTGGTGTGACTTGGCTACATGTTTTTAGTGTTTTTATCACTCAATTTCAGCACCTAAATCTCTACAACCTCCCCATTTACTTCATTCTTTCACTTATTTTTTAGGATTGTTTCAAACTTGGGATCCTTTAAGCTTGAGATTGAGGTCATGCTCAATGGTTTAATCCTTTTTTAGGGTTCATTATCAAAGGCATGATCTCTCTCTTGCCTTACATTATCCCTTGGTTGATATTTCCTTCATCTTAGAGGATACTCACCAATGGACAAATTGATTAAAGAATGATTTGGTAATTAAAATGTGTAAACAAAATTGACAAGTAAAAGTGACAAGATAAGCATGTCTTTCTGTTGCATTGTATGTGTTCAAATCGGACATTAATTTGAACACAAAGAAAATGGGACATTTCATACTCAAAAGTGATGAAATGTACCACTTTCCTAGGTCTCCATTGCCCTTGATCATGCATGATAGGGTGGTGATCTTGTCGGTCATATTTGTGCATTTATCGAAATTGTACAACTTGGATCTTTGGCCATCATGCAATGAACTTGTTTGATTGGTGGTTTTTGGATCTAAATATGTCACTTCTTTGAGATATTGAGATAATAAGGAGGGATACAGTACAAACAAAGCCTTGGAAAAACCTTCTTTTTGCTCTATTTGTGCCCTGTTGTAGCATGGTGATCCAATGCATTAGTGGCCAGCAGACTACCATTATGTCTGGCAGTGCATCATTTCTGGCCGGCAGGACACCTCCTTGGCCGGCAAATGGCCGGCAGCTTCCCTCCATAGCCGGTAGGCCACTGATGTAAATCTCAGCAAAGATTTGGTAAGGTGAAGAAGAAACTTTCTAGAAATGCTCAACCCTACAAACAGAAACTTTCAAGAGCAAAACGGAGGTCTTTTCGGGCCAAAACCGAGCATGTACATCTTTCACTTCCCGAGGCGGAGTAGTGGCAGCATAGTTAGGAATGTTAGTTGCTTAGTTTACTCGTATTTGTGTTGTAAATTAATCACTCCCTCTGTCCCAAAATATTAGTCCCTTATTCCATTTTTTATTATCCCAAAATATTAGTCCCTCTTCAAAAATCAAATACAAAAATAATATAAATTTCCTATTTTGCCCTTCTTTTAAATTAATAAACAATATGAAAAGTACAATTATGACATTGATATTCCCAAAAAATGTACTATCAAAAGGGTAATTTTAAAAAATCAACTTTTTTAAAGTGCAATAATTATACTATCAAAAAAAGTTACATTCCCCAAAATGGACCATTATTTTGGAGTAGAGGGAGTAGTTAGTTTGCTAGTTAGTTAAAGTGTTGTAATAATTAATGATTAGCTTAACTAGTTATTCATTTGATTTGTAATAATTAGTCTAATTAGCTTAGCTCTTATTTATTCGGACCCTCATTCGCGAGGGCATAATGTTGTAATAAGTGTGCGTGCGTGTGCATATGTTTTCCAACCCCACATCTTTCTCTCTTTTATTTAATCGTTTTCGATAGTTAGATTATGGATATATTTCGATTAACATACCTTATGCCTTATGCTTGCATCCATTCATTTGTATTGCATGCACTGATGCTCGGTGCATCATTCAAACTGTATTGTCATTTCAATATACTTATTTGAATACATGTTCGATCACATGTTGTTCAAATCAAGCCATATGTCATATTAGTAGCCGAGTCTATTAATTGCATATTGCATATGTTGCATTAGGCATCTGTATAGTTATGAATCATGCATATTTCACTAACTCATATTTTCCTAGCTTGGAGTACTATGTGAGTTTTACGCTTTAGCATACTCGCATGAATGTCAATGTTGCGATGATTAGCATGCTTACCATGAGGCTATGTGCTTAAATGCTAAACTGCATGAATGCCTGTGGATGAAAGCTTGTTGTTTGAATTGGAACGATTCAATAAATGTGCGTTTTAAGCCTACTTTGTTGAGTAGTAAATCATGTTTTAAGTCCATTATGTTTGGTGGCAAATCTGCAACTTTTAAGCCCACTTAAAGTGACAAATTCAAACTATTTTCACAAACAAACATGAGTTGAATTATTCCAAATTGAGCAAACTAGTCTATACTTGCTTGTGCATATCACATAGTAAAGCTAGTCTAATAATCGGAACAAGAGCACGTAATGTACATAAAAATCATATCATAATTAGTAGAGGATGATCTTTTGATCGAACGAGAAAGGGTGCTCAATTCGTGACTTTTCCCCTTCGTGCCTAAGTTCTCGAGTCAAAACAACTTTGGTGATAACAGACACGTAGCCTTTGGCACAAGTCAGGATTTTCTAAATTTTTCCAAATTAAAAACTATTTAGGTGGTGACTCTGTATCTGGCAAATCTGTCCAATTTTGGCATTATTTGATTTAAAATAGATTTTCCAAAAAGATTTGTCGAATTTAGACTCTTTTACTGTTTATCAGTTTCACATTGCACTTGTGAGATTAGATTCAGAACCGCAGAAGTCCGAACTGTGAGGCCTTCTTTTCAAACCTTCCGAAAGGGGGCACGGAGAAAGGCAAGTCTACAGCAAGGTTGCTCAAATTTGTAAAAAAATTATCCCAATAACTTTTAACTCTAAAAATTTGTAATCTAAGCCCAACACTCTTTTAATCTATTCCCAATTTTTTAGAAGTAATCGATAATACAATAAGTAAAACCTTAGCATCACTTGACAGATAATGTCACACATGAAATATTGAATTATTTTATTATTGCATCATCTTCGTTCATGTAATTATTCAATACACTAAATTTTCTTCTTAAATAAATTTTTTTGGATCATAAGAAAATTTCAAACTTAGAAAATCATAAACTAACTAATAGGCAAAACCAAAATACCTAAGAATGCCAAAAAAATAAATGAATGAATGAATAAAAATTAACGAGATTTTAAGTAAATTAAGGCCAAAAAAACTAGCTTAATGGTTTTGAAAGCAAATTTGACTTGATTTTGGCTCGCAAGGCTAGGGTCTATGAGTGGGATATGGTTTTAGATTTTTGAATAGGGCCAACGCGAATTGGTTGTTGATTGGTCAAAGCCAAAAGGCTGGGTCTATGTTAGGCTCTTGGACAACTAGTTTGTGGGTTGGGCAAGCCGGACTGACCTGTTAGTGCTCCTTAGTTGTTCGGCTTTTTCAAGGAAAGTCATGAGAATGTGACCTTTGAAAATGGCAATCGTGCACGAATCCTTGAAAAAGTGAACAATGGTTTCTCTTGGTCTATCTAGACTGGAGAATATTCTTTATTTTGAAGGCAAATTTGTTTAGTATTAGCTAAATTTGTGATCGTGATCACTATATGCATTCTAATAATAATAGTTGGTCTATTCTTGATAATTTTGGTTTGTGAAATGTAAAAGATTTTTTGATAACTGTTATTGATTTATTTCGGTTACATCTCTTTCTTGCATCACCATTAAATTATGTTTAAAAGCATAAACAATGTTGCTAGAGATCATTACATAGTGTAGAGAAGAATCTAACTTATTTTACTAATACATTTGTAGGATATAAAATTATTGGAGAATTACATTTTCAATCATATGTCTCCATTTTTTAGAAGATTCTTGAACCATTTGGCTGAAAGTTTGGAATATCTTTTCAAACCATTTTTGTAATCTACATAGTTTTTTTTTTTTGATCGGCAAAAAAAATCTTTATTGATGAAACATACAAAGTATGATTAGATACATCAATAAAGAGGAGCTTAGAGCTAACACGAAGCTCCAAGCGCCAGTTGGTGAGAAACCAACAAAAAGAAAAACAAAAGTTGCTGCCAAAAAACCAAAAAACCAGATAGGAGCCTGTAGGGCATTCAACCCATTGGCAATCAACCCATGTGCATTCAACCCGTTGACATTCCTCCCAATGACCTAACACATTGTGCATTCAACCCATTGACATTCCTCCATGACTGGACTAGCAAAATGAACAAACTTGGAAGTCTATAAAGAGGCTCATTATGTCTTCGATCCCTGCCCTATATCAGAAATGCACAACCCCATAGTAAACCAGCACACTATACTGAAGCAAACAATAGACTGCCAGGTCCTGAACCGGACTCCATTCACCGCCACTTCTGATACATGACCTATTGAATTCCCAGAACCTAAGCTCCCACGACTGATTCCATGGCCTGCACCTTCTGAGACCCATATACTATTGAAATACAATCCATTGCAACACTGCATCAACACTGCAAAACTTTGCTGTAGCACTTGCTAAGGACCACCACTCAGCTCCAAATTCAGAACAGAACAAAACTTCACTGTAGCCCACATACACAGACCCAGCACATTGCAACACTGCAGCAACACATCAAAAGCCTGCAAACCTGGAGAACAAACAAACCAGAGACCCAGTAGTGCAGAGTACAGCTAACAGCAACACAGACTGCAAACCAGCAAAACCAGACCAAAACGGAGTTGCAGAACTACACCCAGCAAACCAACACAAACCAAACTGCGACCCTGGCAGCACAGGTGAAGCAGATACACATACAGAAAGCAGATTGGCAGAGCAGAAGCAGAAGATTAAACAGAACAACTCAGGTAAGGCAGATTAATGACACAGGCAAGAACATTAAATGATCCTTTTAACATCTTGGACTGTTCTTTGGAGAACTTAGGAAGTCTTTTTCCCACAAGAGTCCGCATTGTATGTGGATAGTCGCCGGTTGTTAGAGGGTCCATAAACCTCCAATACACAAGGAAAAACATAGTTAGGACATATTATAAATTGATGACCCTACTTATAACAATATTGTTCAGTACCATATATGCGTTATCACAAAAAGGACAATTATAAAACACTCACCATCCTAACATAAAATCAAGGGCCCTTAGTGCAGCAGTGCGGTCTTGTCTTTCTTCTGAGTAAGGTACCATCCAATGTGATACGAGTGTAATTCCAATCTTTCCCTTTTGTGATGCCTGTTTACATTTCCATCATTTGAGTAACTCAAAACTATCTAATATATTTGTATCAAAAATTTATCATATGTAGCAAATCTATTCTTAAACATAAAATTACTTTAGTTTCCATCGACTATGGTTAGGACGTAGCATTAAAATTAGCATATACTTCAGAACTCTTTGATAATAATGTGAATTATATATGTAGTTTCCTTGGGTTTTCAAGTGAGACCTGATACTTTCGCTTGTACAAATTTACTGCAGTTGCATGAGCGAGAAGTTCGTGGTGTGATACAATATATGGCTCAGTGCTTGAATCCCCACCAGTACAATTTAATTGTAGCCATGAAGAGCATCGACCTGGTGCAGAGCTACCAACTGCGTACCCACTCATGCTATATGACCACGGCTCATTCAAGGTGATCCAGTGCTTCACCCTATCACCAAATTCTTTGAAGCAAAGTTCTGCAAAGCCTTTGAAATCATCCCTATAAAGTCGATCATCAATGTTGGAATATGACACAAATACATTACAATGTTTTGCATATTAACTTCAGGACTTCATGATTAATAATTCAATTCTTATTGTGTACTAAGCACAGCAGGATGTGCTGTGGCGTAATACAGCACCGTTTTGCTTTCTTTTCTTTTCTTTTTTTAATCCTATTTTTTGTTTAATTAAAATAACTATGCATTGGTTCCATTTCTCATGAAAGGTTCCACATACATAGCCACTTTTCAACTTTTTTACACAATAGTAAAAGTTTAAATTTACACCACTTTTTTTGGTGCATAATATTATTGTAAATAAAAAAAGAAAAAAGAAACAAGAGTATTTAGAATTCAAAATTTATGAACTATATTCATTTTGAATATACGTTACACCACACTATGTTTAAATTTACACCTACTTTTTTTGTGTAATATTATTAGATATGTAAAAAAAAATGATATATTTAAAAATTGTATTGAGATTTTAAATTTTTTGAGGCTTTCTTTTTCTTATTAAAATTTCTTAAATTGTCATTAATATGACCCTAATTTTTAATACAGTAAGAAAATTAAATTATAAAGAAAGATTACAAATAGATTAAAAGAAATGTAGTGTACTAAGAATAATATTTAAAAAACTATTTGAAATTTATTCAAAATTTGAATATGCAGTGCAACTATTAAAAAAAAAAAAATTGTATGGTGCAAATTTAAATTTAGTGTGCAACATTCAAGATAATATGATTTGTACATTTTTGATTATGCATATCTTTTAGTGTATTAAAAAAAAAAATACTATGCACTAAGAAATACATTCATAATTTAAATTTGTAGTGTACAATTAAGGTAAATACACTTTGTCCCTTTAAGTTTGGTCATTTTTTTCACTTTTTTCCCTAAATTTTATCCCCCACTTTAGCTCTTCATATTTCAATTTTTTAAATTTTTTTTAATACTCTAAAAGCTAACTTTTGTCCAAAAATATATTAAAAAAATAATATATTAACAGTCACGTGACATAAAAATATTTTATTATATATAACTCACACATTTAACATAAATCCAAACTCAATTATAATAATATATTTTTTATCATGTGTCAATTAACGTAGCATTTTTTGTTTAATTTTGAACAAAAACTTAAAGCATGTAGAGCCAAAGTGCAAAAAAAAAAGGGGGGCAAATTACACTAACAGTCCCTATAGTTTGGGACTCGTGTCACTTTAATCCCTAACTTTTCAATTATGACACATTTGACCCTGAATTTTAAATCTTGTTCCAAATAAAGACAATTGAAGATACCATTATTTAATTTCAAGGGCAAAATTGTCAATTTAATAAAATATAAACTAATTTGACAAAAATAAATGTCAAAAAAATATTTTTAATTTTTTAAAAATTATTTTTATCCACCAATGATAAAATTATGTAAAATTGATAAAAATTAATAAAAATAATTTTTAAAAATTAATTTTACATGATCATCATTCAAACACATAATAAAAATTAATTTGGAAAAAAAAAATAAATGTCCAAAAAATTTATCAATTTTACATAATTTTATTTTAGTGTGTAGAAATAATTTTTAAAAATTTAAAAATATTTGTTTGACATTTCTTTTTGTCAAATTAGTTTATATTTTATCAAATTAACGATTTTACCCTTGAAAAATCTAATGATATATTCAATTGTCTTTATTTAGAACAAGATTCAAAATTCAGGGTTAAATATGTCTCAATTGAAAAGTTAGGGATCAAAGTGACACATGTTTCAAACTATAAGGACTATTAATGTAATTCACCCAAATGTTTTTCAAACAAGGACTTGATTACCGCAAAGTTCGTCAATATTATTTCATCATGGCGAGAAAGATTCTTATAATTGTCAATAATCTTAATGGAAGTTAAACTGTGTTTGACATTGGTTACGGTAGTCAACTTTTTTGTGTTGGGACTTTTTTAACCTGACTTTTTTAGTCAATTTGAAACCAAGACTAGGTAGTAGTGTTCTTTTAGGACTTCTATTAAATAACTGGTTACGTATTGAGACTCTTGGCTTATTTTTGTTGTATTTATTAAAATTGTAATAATCAAGAGTGGTGATTTTTATTATATGTTTGGATGATGATTATGTAATGGATGGTTGTTTTTATTTTCATTAAATTAGTTTCTATTTTTTCAAAACTCAAATATATCAACTGCTTTGATATCATTATTAAATCAATCCAACAAATCAAAAAATTCAAAACTAAAAATATTTCATATATTAAACATATTGAGTACACATTAAAAGCTTAACAACCACACATTACATGATCATCATCCAAACATATAATAAAAATTAATTTGATAAAATAAATAAATAAATGCGTAAAAGATTTATTAATTTTACATAATTTTATCTTTGGTGGGTAGAAATAATTTTTAAAAATTCAAAAATATTTTTTTGACATTTATTTTTATCCAAATTAGTTTATATTTTATCAAATTGAAGACTTGCCCTTGAAATTGAGTAGTGATATCTTCAATTGTTCTTATTTGAAATAAGATTTAAAATTTATGGTCAAATTTGTTACAATAAAAAAATGAAGGACCAAAGTGACACGAGCCCCAAATTAAAGATTGTTAGTGTAATTCACCCTAAATTTATCACTACCAAATTTTCATTCTCCCTTCCCTTTCTCAATCCATTTCTATTGTCACCACCTGATCTAAGGAGATGGTGAGAGTAGTGATATTGCTAGGGTTACAACTCGGATAAGTTCAATTAGATTAGGAGGTTGTCTAAGCCTAATCTAAATTGCGCTAAGATCTGTCCAGGCCTGCACAAGCTCAAATTATAACTTGAGTTTGTTTTCCTAAGCCCAATCCGAGTTAAACCCGAGTTGCATGAATTGCACATAAATTTTAGTGGGTTCCTTTTTTTTTTTTGCAACTAAATTAATAATTTATTAAAATTAAACTCTATTTACAATTTTTTTTAGAAAATCATTAATAACATGAAAACAAATAATTTTTATAATGTAAGAGAGGTACCATTATGGTAGTCTTTACAATTTATAAGTGAAAATACAAAAAAAAAAAAAAAGATTTTGTGTTGTGTTACTTGTGTATATAATATATATTCAATATAATATAATGATCTAAATTACTTTAATATCATGTAATGGCTAATAATTTTATGTATATTTTTATAATCTATATATATAATTCGAGTTTCGGATTGCTCGGGATGTCTTTGCCCAAACTGACTCAAATTTAATTTGAACTTTTAATTTTTTGTTCAAATCCATACCGAATTCAAAAATATTGTACCTAAGCCCTAAAACAATTAGGGCTAAGATCGGATTGCTTAAGTTAAGCTCGCCCAAGGTGCACCCCTAGACATGGTGGAGATGGATGTTTTTGCTATAAAAATTGTTAGAGAAATATTGAAAAAATATCTCTAGACACCAGAGGTGGTCATTGGTGGTTGAAGACAACTACCAAAGATGATGGCTGATAGTCGGAGAGGGTGGCCAGAGGTTGTTGGCTAGAGGAGGGACGGAGTTCTAACATTGTTGATAATGGATATCAAGAAGGTGAGAGGAGTGCATTTTGAGAATATTAATATATGAGGGGGGAAACAAAAAAGAAGTAAGACTTGCAAATAAATAAGTTTGGTCAATAAAATTGACTTGTAAGCATCCCTAAATACATTGAAGGAGGGTTTTGGAATTGAAAGGCTGCCATATTCTTTGTCGCCCGTTCACAATAAGCCTAAATTTAAATACAACAAGCTTATCTAAAAAATATAGCATTGCCTAGGATATATATTTAAATGGACCAACATGTAATTTAATGCTTTTGTGAAGTTGAAAACAAATTATGGAAACAACTTGATAACGCTTAGATGGATGTATACCTTGTAACGATGATAAGAATCAATAGCCACATCTCCATTACTACCATCCTGTATTTTACCTGCCACATCACATCAAAGGTCTATTATGAATGGTTTCTATCAGATTCAATTATTGGCCAAAAAAGACTTGGACCCAGTGGAATAACTCCCAGTAGCTCCACTGTTTTTTGATTGACTCAAATTATTTTTTATTTATTCATCTTTTTCTTGTCTTACTCTCACTCCCACGTGGAGGTGAGGGTGCTGGGGTCACCCCACTGGGGGTCCCAGCATTGTTCACTGTTGGTTGGGTGAAGATGAGGGGCTATTTATGTCAAGTCGAGTTGTCATGAGAGTTGTCTACCTAAGCTATACTTGAATTATATGAATCCAACTTGGGCTATATTATTCACAAATTTAAGATAAGTTACATTTTTTCTTTCCCAGCTATGCTGTTTAATTTTTTAATGTTGAGTCTTATTACCATTTTTTTTTTTGGGGGACAAATCATAAGTAGCAACAATAACATAACAACTAAACTCTTTACAAAAATAATCTAATAATGGTCTTATTTGAAAAGTTGCCTATTTAGTTTTTTTTATTATTATTATTATTTTAATTTGGTTAAAAAAGTTGTGTTTGAGAAATTGATTGACTTTTTTTTGTAATTAATTTGATGATTGTGAGAGAAAAAATGAAATGATTACGGATTGAATGTGACATTTTGTCTTATTAATTATTTTATCTTATTTTGTCTAAGGCCTCGTTTGGTAATAGGCTTTTTTAGTACCTTTTTGACTTTTTATGAAAAGATATGTAGAAAAGTAAATAGAATGATGTAACAACTTATAGTGCCTTTTTAACTAAAATATGTAGTTGCCAAACGAAGCCTAGTGGGCTATTTTAGCCCCAACTTTCTTTCCAAATACCCCCAATAAAACAAAGGGCAAAAAAGTGTGTACTATTTTAGAAAGTGGATTAAAAGTCACTTTCTAACTTTTAATCCACTTTATTTCTCACAAAAAAAGTCAAAAAGTTCAAACCAAATCAAAAAGTCTGTTTTTAACCATCTTCTCAAGTTATGACATTTGTGGGGTTCATTACCACAAATGCCATAACTCAATCCTATGCGAGTCATAATTAAAAAAAAAAATTATAACCAAAAATCACATA